GGGAGTCTGCTTCTCCCTCTGACCCTCCCCCCTCTCATGCTCTCTCTCTCTATCTCATTCTCTCTCAAATAAATAAATAAAATCTTTTAAAAATACTGAGTCCAGCAATCTGTGAGCATGGTCTAGCTCTCCATGTATTTACGTTTTCCCCAATATCTCACAGGGACACTTTTTATGCTATATAAGTGCTATATTTTCTGCTTATTGCTCATGTATACTCTTTTCAATGACTTTTGTATCCTGAAGGCTGCTAAATTCTTATTAATATCCTAACAATTTATCTGTATACTCTTCTGCGTTTTCTACAAAGTCATACCACCCTTTCTGAAACTCCTATTTTTCTTTTTCGCTTTATGGTTGCGGCAGAACCTCCAGGGCAGTGACAGCAGAAGCGAGAACACAATGAGCAGAAGGGGGAAGGAGCTGCCCTTGCCTTATTCCTGAATACAAATGCAAAAATGTCAACAATGCATCATTAAGGGTGCAGGATTTTTTGTAAATACTCCATATCACAGTGCAGAAATTCCCTTCTACGTCTACTTCGCTAAGAGGTTTTATCAAAAAGGAGGCTGAATTCTGTTTTCTGCATCTACTGAAATGATCATGACATTCCTACCTTTAATCTGTTAACATGGTGAAATGACATATTAAACCAATCTTAAATTCTTTGTGATAAACTCTATTTAGCTATGAAAAACTAGCGCTTTATACAATTCCAGATTCTGCTTCTTAATAATGGCTATAACTTTTGCATCTCCCATCACATGGCTGTTATGGGATTGTCCCATCCTGTATTATTACTCTCGCCCACTTCGGGAATCAAGGTGGGGGGCTGGAGAGTACTCCCTGCTTCCTCCCCGCTGTGTTCTGGAATGGATGAGCAAAACTGAGAACATTTGTTCCCTGAATGTGTGCTAGAACGAGAGAGTTAAACCATCTGGACCTTGTGGAAAGATTTCTGCCAACAAATTCCATTTCTGGAATGACTATTTTCTCTTTCTTCCTGACCCCACCGTGGTGGGTCCCAGCTCTCCATCTCTAAGCCTGTTGCTGGGCTGCTGCCCATCTTGTCCCACTCCCACCTTTCCCATCCCTGCAGCACTTTCTTTCCTAGCAGGCTGCACTTCTCCTCCTTGCCTTTCTTCTTGATCAATTTTGCTAGATATTTATCACTCATGTTAAAAGATGACCAGAAATTGTCTGTATTGCTAATATTTTTTAACAGACTATCTTTCTAGAGAAATTTTAAGTTCAAAGAACAACTGATCGGTGAGTACAGAGGCTCTCAAACACCACCCCCAACACATTCACACGCAGTTTCCTATTATTCACACCTTGTGTTAGTGCAAGCACGGTACACATTACACTTAATGAACCCCTATCAACGCATCTTTATGAACTGAAGTCCCTAGTTCACGTTAGGGCTCACTCTTTACATGTGTAATGACCTGTGTCCACCTTTACTGTATCACAGGTGTTGTTTATAACAATCTTTTCCAAGAACTGACTTCAGCTTCATTGATCTTTTTTATAAAATATTTGTTTTCTACTTCGCTAACATGTGCTTTATTATTTCCATCTACTTACTTTAGGGCTATTGCACTTTTCAAACTCCTCAGGTAGAGGAAACACAAGCAGTTCCTTATCTCGCTCAGTCTGGTTTCCTCAGTCCCTCCGCGTGGCACCTCAGGCCAGTCCTCACGCCACCTGCCTCCAATGTCCGAGTCTGGAACCAGTCTCCTACAGCTACTTTCCTATTCATTCCTGCTTCTCTACCTCCTCTCCTCTCAGTTCCCAGTTACCTGACAAATTCTGCTGATTATGTCCTAAATTCATTAAGGGAAGGGACATCTCCATTTCTCTAATGCCAGTAACTTATTCCACATCCTTTCACTCAGAGCTGGAAACAAACATCTCTTTAACTTCATTTCCTAAAACACTGTTTTCCATCATGACACTCAAGACTTCGGAAGCCCTCCTCTGGTACTCAAGTTAGCCTTCAAGTTCTTCTATAATCCAATACCTTCTCTCCACCAACGTGTTTTCCTCTCCCAGTAGTCTCTAGGCAAATGTTCCACTCAAATCAAGCACAACACACAAATTAACCTTGATCCCCATTATCCATCTTATCCCCCCACCTGACGGTTTCTCCACCTTCTCTTCAAACCACATAACTCATCCCCATGAAGAATCTCGTCCTCTGTGGAATGTTCCACAATTGTGCCAGGCTATCACTGGACTTGTTGCAAAAACTCATTTTTGCATTTATAACATATTCATATAAAGCAATGTAAAAATAGCTTTTTCTCAACACCTATTTTATTTTGCTAACTAGATAAGCAGCTTCTTAGACACATAAACTGCACTTCACACTCTTTCAGGATCTCTCAGAACACATGACATTGTAGACAGCTAATACTTACTGAAAGGCAACAAGTATTCATCAAATAAATAGAACAACTTACCTTACCCGCCAGGCGGCTGGAGATGACCCCATTGCTAGACAGAAGACAGTCAGTCAGAGTAGTTTTTCCTGTTAAAATAACAATTTTAATTCAAATCTATTTTTTTTTCTAAACAGGAAGGGAGATGTACCGCACCAACAGAGTTAACTTCTGACTATGAGAACTGGTTTTGCAAAGATTTCCTATTTACCTATACAGAGTGAAGCAAGACCTAATGAGCATTTAGACTTCTGAACAGAATACCATCTGGAAGGACACAGACTCTACTGCTCAAAGTGCTGTAATTTATATTTCCACCCCGAGGGATCTCATCACCCTCACCCGAAAAGTTGTCAAGTGACTTTTTTCCCCCCAGGGTAGTTTTGTTTTGTTTTTTGTTTTTTTTTTTTAAACAGAGGCATCACGTATAGAGTCAAATGCAGACTCCTAGGTGATGAGATAAACCAACATGCCAATCAAAAGACGGAACATCTGATAAACGATACGTAGTTAGTAAAATCTGTTCTACAAGAATTTGACCTAGTTCATCATAATTATTAATCATCTGATATCCATAATAGTGACCATGCTATTAACTTACACTCTTGATAGCTTAGAATGACAAAAAGATAGCAAAGCACTCATTTTTGTCTCTGAATGGCATACTGGGTAAAATACCACCAAAAAAACAGAATATAATCTTCTGCCATATTTCCTCACGTACAGCCTTGGCTGGTATTTGCCAGTTAAACTGTCTTAAGAAAATGCTTACTTAGCAAAGAAATTCAGGAAATTTACCCTTAGCTCCTACTGTGAGGGCATCAGCTACACTGCAGCTACTCCCAAAGTTACCTAGAATCCAAACATAAAGCTAGGGAGCTACTATGTAATAAAAAAGTCTTTGTAGACTCAAGTACACACAGTTTCATACAAGGTTTTATGAAGTCTACACAATCTGAAGTGGCAGATAACTTTGTTTAAAGAGTGCTGCTTATATGGTTACTGCAGCTGGGCTCAAGTAGCAAAAGGAGGGTCTTTTCTTTAAGACAAACAAGTCCGAGAACACTCTGGGAACTGCAGCAAAGCCATGGAATCTGTAATAGTACAAACCAGAAAGCAATCATGGGAGCACTGAAGAGTTTTAATAATGTGCTGTCCGCTTGGCATGGACATCTTGTGTGTCCGCTCAATCCTAGGGCGACACTTCCCTATGATCCAGTGGAGTAGAACTCATTATCAGTACGGCAAGCACGTACCCCCTGGAGTGTTAAGTGCCCGGAAAGCACTATCTTTCTGCACTGGGGCTGCAATCCTAGGACCAGACGCCATGTGATTTAATTCACAAAGCAAAAGAAGAAATACTTTTGCCAAACCTCATGTCCTCAAAATGTGAGCAGTCGTTACAAAAACTCAAGGGGGGCAGAGGGTCAGTGCTGGATCTGTACATACCACTCCCTCTCAGCGGGCTTCACCGACACAGCGATTTACCACTTCTCCTCCTCGCAGTTCCCACACCACTGCCCTCAGCTACTACCTCAGTGGCAACAGCCACCTCACTAACCTCTTACCTGCCTTTCAGTGCACATGACCACATCCACCAGGCTAACCTTTCTAACGTGCTGATTACAACAGCCCTGCTTTGTTTTGTTCTCCCAGTGGCTCCCTACTACCTCATAATAAATATTAATGATCATCCTCACAATAAAGCGTGTACTGGCCAAGGGCTTCTCATTGTCACCCCGATCCACGCTCAGTGGGGAGTCTACATGAGATTCCCTCTCTCCCTCTGCCCCTCCCCTTGCTCCGCACTCGCTCGCTCGAGCTCTCTCTCAAATAAATAAATCAACAAATAAAATCTTAAAAAAATAATAAAGTTGAAAACAGTGATATACACTATATAGAAGAATGCTAATCACTAGGTAGCCGTGCTCATTTCAAATGCTTTATGGCGAGCGTCTCTAACATTCAACTTCTAAAGACATACTTGCTTCTTAGCAAGCATCAGTCTCAACTGTCCACAGCTTGGCTTTGCTGACAAATGTGGAGACACACCCCCTTAATTACTGAAAATAACCCATTTAGAAAGGATTCTTACCATGGTCAACGTGAGCCAAAACGCAGATGTTCCTGATGTTGGCAGTGTTTTTCTGCAGGTGAATCATCTTATCCAAACTACTGAGCACCATGGTCCCTTACTTCCTGTGACTAAAAATTAGGTATGTGTCACACATGGCACGCGCGCTAAAGATCAGGGCCTCACATTTTTTTTCCCTGTAACGCGGGGAGCTGACAGGACCTGTCAGGTCCCTTAAGCTAAGAACCCAGTGAATGTCTGCTGAAGGGGACACACCCACCCAGGCCCAAGTCCAGTCTGAGCAGTGGAGCAGCTACCGCAGCACGCCGGTATCATGCAGCTCGCTCACCCTCCGGGACTGGACGGCCGCGAGGCTTCCCGCAGCTCGCCGGGGCGGGAACACCAGCAACTGCCACCGGACAGGCCTTACCGGGCAACTGTCTCCCGCGTAAGAAGGGTCGTCTGCAGGACGGAGGGAAGACGCTGACACCTCTCCCTTCCGCTCCTCGATCTTTCCCCACTCCCCTCACGCTGGCATTCTCGCTCGCGCTCACTCAAGACCAAACTCCCGGCTCCACCACCGCCCACCGCGGATGAAGTTTCTCCCAGTGTTTCGGCTCACATGCTCCCTAACCAAGCAGGTGCACTACGGGGCTCTGGAAAGGAAGGAAAGCACCCACTGCAAGGTCCCTTCCCCTCCCTGGGGCCCCGCATTCGCTGTCTCCAGGACACAGGCGGCGGTCCGCGGCCCCCAGGTGGACCCGACGGCTCCGGGCGGCGGCCGCGCCCAGC